GGTCAGAGGGAGCCTTTCCCTTACTTCGCTGGGCTCTGGATCAGGCCCTGATGCTGTTTTTACACCAGTGTGTCTCCATTGGCCTCAGTGGACTTGATTCTGATGTAGGGCCTGATTTTGCTGCTGTTAAAGTCAATCTGAGTTTTTGGTGACCTTAATGGGAGCAGGCTCTGTGAGAGTGAGATCAGGAGCAGGACATATATGTTTGTTAACGGCCTCTCATATTAACCGCCTGAGACTTGTAAGTGGGATTGTCAAAAGAGTCTAAAGGCATTAGTGCCCAGACCCCATTACAAGGAGATCAATGCCTAACTAACTCCCACACAGGCTCCAGCTTCATTTATTTATCAGCCTTTCTGTGACCATCAGTAGTCTAGGATCTCAGCAGCTCACAAACATGAATTAATTTTATCTTCTCAGCCTCCCTGGCCAGGCCCAGACTAAAGAATTTTGGGGCTTGTGCACTATGGAAATTGGGAAGCCTCCCCACCTTTCCTAAACTAGATAGCAATCCGCACCATACCCCACCCAAAGCTCAGAATGCTCCTCCCACCTCACATACACCCCAACAACCCTCCATCAGCTCCCACTTATCCCAGCAGCCCTGCTGTACATCCCACTCACTTCAAACTCACCCCTCCAACACTGTTCATTCACCCCATAGCCCCTCAACAACTCATCCCAGCCCCTCACCCTTACCCCAGGATCTTCCTGGCCACTCATTGGTGCCCCCTGGCTCAGCACTCTGCTTCTGTTCCAGGCTAGGGCGGCTCTTCCTGATCCCCCACCGTCCAGCACCTCCGCTCTCTCCCTGCCTTGCACTCGCAGTCCTGCGCTGCCCAATCACTCCTCCTTTAAGACAGAGAGGTGGCTGGGCCAAACTGGAGTGAGTGGTGGTGTGATCTGGCACATGGGGTTGCAGTGCCACAGTGTTTTTTGTTTGTTTGTTAGTCTGGTAGTCAGGGGCCCTGTGCACATGCAGCAACTGCACCCTGGTTAATCCAGGCCTGCCTGCCCTCAGGGAGTTGGCATTACTCCCATTTTACAGATGAGGAAATGAGGCACAAAGGGATTAAATGACTTGCCCAAGGCAACGGGAAGTCCCTGGGAGATCTGGAAATAGAACCCAGATGCCCTGTGCCTTAGCCACTAGGCCATCCTCCCTTTCCTTTGTATGGTCCTCTCTCTTCTAGGAATTCCAGTTAGTGTCAGCCTGACCACAAACAGCTCCTTACAGGATCCAATGGATAGCTGAGTAGCAGATAGCATCTTGATTGGGAGGAGCCACCGCTCTTAAAATGAACCTTAGTTGTTGGGTTTTTGTTTTGTTTTTAAAACATACACTAACAAACCAGCTTCCAGAGCAAAGTGGCTTGTCCATTAATGAGTAAGTTTCCTTCTAAGCATATATTTTTTTCTCTTTAAAAGGATCAGGGACTCTATAGTTGGTTTTTTAATACATCTGGATTTTTCTCTTAGATCTTAATGTATCTAAAACCAGCTGGAATTGCAATTAAATTTGTTTTAGGGTATTATTCTGTGTCCCACTACTGTAGCATCTGAGCACCTTCCATATAAAATCAATTCACTAGCAATGTTCCTAGCACTTCTCCCTTTTTGGGGTCAAAACTCTGCTTGGATAAGGGTCTTTCTTTATTCTTCAAATTCAGAACACATTACAATTTGGAAGCAAAAGAACATGTGAGTGGATAGATCTCATGCATACTTCCTATTATCAGGAGGTAATAGACACAGTCAGTTTCAACCATGTCACATTGAATTTTGTATTTAAAAGAATATATTCTTAACCAATGCCTTTATAGATCACTAGCAATACAGCCCAGAATTCTGCCAGTAAACTGTAAGCTTTTTTGCATGACGGACTGTTTTATTAATTGCATAAATGTACAGTACCTAGCACATTAGGGCCCTGGGTGCTGATTAGTACTTTTAGGTCCTATTATTATTTAATATTTGTATTGCAGTAGCACCTAAGAGCACCAGTCAAAGCCCAGGACTGCCTTCTGTAGTGCATGAAGTGATATGACAGATGCTAGTCACATGAAGTTCTTTCCTTCTTTGCACTCCCTTTTCATACTTTAAACCCAGATGCTTCAACTGGTTACATGTGAATGGACCCCCTGGGCCCATCCCTGCTAATTCAAATTGCAGGATCAGAGCCCTCTTTTGTGCACATACTGCACTTTGCTACCACCAGAATAACAGTGACAACAATATCCATCCAATCTCCATCTCTGGAGATATTTAAGAGTAGGTTAGATAAATGTCTATCAGGGATGGTCTAGACAGTATTTGGTCCTGCCATGCGGGCAGGGGACTGGACTCGATGACCTCTCGAGGTCCCTTCCAGTCCTAGAATCTATGAATCTATGAATATAAGGTAGGGGCTGTAATTTTCAAATTTGTTTGTATATTGGCTCAAGCAATGGGGCTCTGAGCTGGTTAACTTGTAAGCATTCCCACAATTATAAATGTTAAAATAATAATTAATAAAATGGTTGGACCAACGTAACAAAACAAAAAAAGATTGACGAGTGACTGAAACCTCTGGGATTGAGCCCTGGAAATTGTCAAATCAGATGGTAGTTGAACGGGGGGGGGGGGAGTGAATTCAAAATCTTAGTATCTAAATAGAATTCCAAAGGGCATTGTGTTTCCCCAGCGCATTGATTGGTTTTTGGCCAGATTTCCTCCTATTTTTGTGTCTGCATTGATCCTTCAAATTTAACATATCCATTTGGACATTCATCTCTTCACCCCTTCCCCCCAAATCTGCCTGCATCCACGTGTTGTATTCTATTTTATACTTAGATTGTAAGATCTTTGGGGCAGGAACGATATTTTTGCTGTGTGTTTTCACAGCACTTGGCACACCCAAGGTTCTGGTCCCTAACTGGGGTTCCGAGGCTGTATAAAGCTTGTCATGCAGCCTCTTCTTGTCTGCACATTAGAGTTAGAGGAAAATGTTGATTTCTGATCCTTGTTTCTCTCTTTTTTTGGTTTTGAAACTTGTTTCTTATGTTTGTATTTTGAGTTGGTTGAAAAGCCAGTAAAAAAAGAGTTTTGATTGTCGAAAAATTTGAAATTTTGGCTGTGTAACTCATTGAAAAACCAGACACATTTCAACCCAAGTTGTTTGCTTATTGAAAACAGATTTCTGTAGGAAAAGCCTTGAACTCTGGAGAATGTCTTCCAGTTCTTGTTTGTTTTCATAACAGCAAGAAACCCAAAGAGTCGTATCTTCCGGTAGGTTCTCCCAAACTAAGTAGGGCTGAATGGGGTCAGTGATTGCCTGGGAGACTTGTTAGGAAAATCTTGGTGCTGAAGGAAGTGGTGTTAGCGATTCAGTAGAGGGTGCTCTTTCCTGTGAGTCAGTGCACAGCAATCCTCCGGGTGGCTCTGCGGTCTTTCGCATGAGATGTGAAAGGGAGGTCCTCCATTAGTCATGGCCCTTAAAGATCCCAGGCTACCTTTTGACTGGACAAATTTAATTTTTCTGACCTGAAATACCCCTGCAGTTTCAGCTGAAAATGTATTTTCTCTCTTTGTTCTCCACTGTGTTTGTATTATAGCAGGCTATGTCATGTAGTGTGTGTGTGTGTGCTCCATCTATACACTGTGTATTTGTGTTATGCAATTTACATTGGGCATATGTTTTGCACTATGCATAAGTGTGTGTGTTTTTTGTTTTACACATTACGTGTGTTTTGTGCACATTCCATGTATGAGTGTGTGTATTTTGTGCTTGTATTAGATGTACATGTTTTATGTCTGAAGACGTGTGTTACACATAAAATTTGTATATGATTGTATTTGTGTTACATGTATACGTTAGGTGCATATCCTTGTGTTGCGTGCATGCCTGTGCGTCTATTTTGTGTCACGGGTGTACTTGTCTTGAATTACACACACGGTGTATGTTTTGCAACTTTTGCGTTAATTGCATGTACCCTGTGTTTGTTGCATGTGCCTTGTGTGTATGTGCTCATGTCAGGCACACACTTTAAAAAAAACAACCACCCTCCACCACAGTAAATAATCAGGACAAAGCAGAAACAAACCCCACAGAGGAAAAGCCCTCGCCCTCCCGCCCCCTTCCTTCCGCGCTGGCAGGTCTGTGAACCCAGCACTTTACTCTTCCCCAGCCCGGCTGCTCCGGGCTTGTCTGTGTGCTTGCCTCTGCGGAGAGGCTCCGCGGGGGGAGGCGGCCCCCGTTCCTGGAAGAGCCCAGCCTGGGGAGTTGGTCACATTCTTGGCTGGGATTCAATGACTGAGGCAGACACCAACAAACAGGGGAGGGGTGCGGGCGGGCGCGCGGGGCGGGCGGGAGGAGTGAGCGCGAGGCTGCACGAGCTCAGCGCCCAGGCGCTCTCAGTCGCGGCTGGGGAGAGGAGCGGGGAGGACGAGCGCTCGCTGCCTGCAGCTCCCCGCAGCCCACTAGCCCAGAGAGCAAAGCCCAGCAAGAGCCGCACGCGAAGGAAACCTTCCCGACCCAGCCAGGGGACCACCCGGAGAAGGGGGGGAGGGAGGAGCCCGCCTCTGTCTGCAGCCCCCCTCCGCCACCTCTTTCTTTGGAAGTGCAAAAGATTGCGGCCGGGGGGAGCGTCGAAGCAAAAAGCAAAACAGTGCAACATTTTATTGTGGTGTTGCATTTTTTTTTTATGATTGTTGTCTTCCCCTCCTGCCGCTTGGCTTCGGTGGAGATGGACCGCCGGGAGGCCGCCGCCGCAGAGCCGCAGCCCGCGCGCGTTTGAGCCCCCGGGGCCGGAGCGCGGCACAGACTTTCCTGGGGTTGTGTTTGGGGGGGGGGGGGGGGGGGCGGCTCGACTCTCTGCTCCGCCGGGGCTTGTGCAAGGGCCCCCGAGCCGGGCACACGCGCCCCGCGGACACACTCCGCGGCAGCGGGGGTCGGTGCCGGCTGACCCCGGAGGCGACGCAGGGCGGGCCGGGCGGGTTCCATGTGGTGGCCCCTGGTTTAGGGGAGGCACACCCGGGGCTGTTCGGTTGTTATTTCTGGTTTTGGGCCGGGGCTGAGGGGCTGAAAGATGGAGACTGTCACTAGAAGCAGCTTCCAGCCGCATCCCGGGCTGCAGAAGACCTTGGAACAGTTTCATCTGAGCTCCATGAGCTCCCTGGGTGGCCCGGCCGCCTTCTCCGCCCGCTGGGCGCAGGAGATGTACAAGAAGGACAATGGCAAAGACCCGGCGGAGCCCGTCCTCCACCTGCCCCCCATCCAGCCCCCGCCGGTGATGCCGGGCCCCTTCTTCATGCCCTCGGACAGGTCCACGGAGCGGTGCGAGACCATCCTGGAAGGGGAGACCATCTCCTGCTTCGTGGTGGGTGGCGAGAAGCGGCTCTGCCTGCCCCAGATCCTGAACTCCGTGCTCAGGGACTTCTCCCTGCAGCAGATCAACTCGGTGTGCGACGAGCTGCACATCTACTGCTCCCGGTGCACGGCCGACCAGCTGGAGATCCTGAAAGTCATGGGCATCCTGCCCTTCTCGGCCCCTTCCTGCGGGCTCATCACCAAGACGGACGCCGAGAGGCTCTGCAATGCCTTGCTCTACGGGGGCACCTACCCGCCCCACTGCAAGAAGGAGTTCTCCAGCACCATCGAGCTGGAGCTCACCGAGAAGAGCTTCAAGGTGTACCACGAGTGCTTTGGGAAGTGCAAGGGACTCCTCGTGCCAGAGCTGTACACCAACCCCAGCGCTGCCTGCATCCAGTGCTTGGACTGCAGGCTCATGTACCCGCCTCACAAATTTGTGGTCCACTCGCATAAATCCCTGGAGAACAGGACTTGCCACTGGGGCTTTGACTCGGCTAACTGGAGGTCCTATATCCTCCTCAGCCAGGATTACACCGGGAAAGAGGAGAAAGCAAGGCTGGGCCAGTTCTTGGATGAAATGAAAGAGAAATTTGACTACAGCAACAAATACAAGAGAAAAGCACCCAGGGTAAGTAGCACCTGATTTTTCGGGATGAGGGCTGGGGACATTCGCCTACAGTTTCAGGGGTCTCCCGATAAACCAGCTTTGGTGGCCCCTCTCCCTTGCAAGGCATGCAGCGGTCTAACCATGCTGTGAAATCAAACCCAGTGGGCTGATGTGGAAGAGAATTCTTAGAAACTGCACTTTGCTTTCTTGTAGGCTTAAATTGTTCTTCTTCTTGGTGGCTTTTAGGTTTTACTTAAAAGACTTCTACTTTTCTATGTCTTCTTTGAATTGTACATTAGGGGCCTGATCCTGCTGCCCTTGCTCCCCCCCATACTTTCACTGGGAGACAGGCCAGGACTTCGGGATCGGAGCCTGAATGGGGAAGCATGAAAGCTGGGGCAAGGACAAATAACAAGAACGAACTACTCTTTACAGAAATGCATACAACTCCCCTCCTGATGTATGTCTTAATAAATGGAACAGGTCTGGGAACAGAGATGAAATGATCTCCAAGCCTAGATGGGAATGAAATGTGACTGGTTACAGGGGTCCATAGGAAAATTTCTGACAATAGGTCAGTATACTAGTAGCATGCATTAGCGACTGGTGTGTGACCGGAGAAGACTGTGCACATTGTCTGAATCCTACGACCAGACTGGCTTTTGTGTATTGGATTTTGTATAGATCCAGTAAATGAATCTGTCTAGAGCCAACTGCAGCAGCCTCTAAGATACGCCATGCGGTGTTGACTCTGCCCATCCAGACTGCTAAACCACATTTATTTTAGGTGGCTTTTTTTTTCTTTTCAGTCTGAGCAGCCTGAATCGCCAGCGTGTGGGTGGGTGGCAGGCCATGGTGGACCCTGGCACCAGTCCTGATCAATGGGCAGCAATGCCACAGGGCCCTGAGAACTTCCTCGCAGACACCAGGATGTCTGGCTAACTGGCGGTGGTGTAATTGGCTGTGGGATGAGCAGCACACTGTCCGCCCCCCTTATCCCCCCCAAAAAAAAAGGCAAACAGGAAAAGTCGAGTTAACTCCTTCCTTTGAGTTCTACTGCACTGGCTTGTTGGGTGGATTGTGTCTCATTTTGTTGGGGATTTTTAGTTGCTGGAGTTGCAGGGTGCACAATGCTAGGGACAAACCCAAAGAGAAGCATTTAAAGCCTGTTGTGAATGGGCAGGGAGATTCTCATCACTTCCGAAATGCTTGTTTTAAACACTCTCTCTCTTTAACTTTCTTTTTTAAATATCCAGACTTACGAAGCGCTGTGCACACAAAGCTGCACCTAGCCCAGCTATCTTTGGGAGGCCCAGTTAATTCAGCTTCTTGCCTCTAGCTTTTCTTTCTTTTTTCAAATCAGTAACTAGACTCCTCCTCCCTCTAGTTCCTCAAATTCCCCTCCCCAGAGCTGGAGGGTCAGAGCCATTGTGGCAGTGTTGTGCTGTAATGAGCCACATTATCGCCATAGTTGGAGGTGGATGTGTTTTTAATGGCTTGTCTGTCCGCTGCTAATCATGCGCTAAGATGGCATGGTGGGATTGACTGTCTACGGATGTGTGGGGACAGGAGAGGGTGAGGTTGTGAGGCTGGAGAAGCAGGATTTTTGGGGTGAAGTGACCTTGCTGTGATTGTGGCATCCTGCCCAGACCACCTCTCCCCACTTCCCTTTCCTACTCCCAGAAAGGTGTGTTTTGAATATTACCTGGGTCAGTCCCATATTGGTTGATTCCCTCCCTATTTCCATAGCTGACCCCTTTCACTTGATGAATTTCAAACCTTAAGTGGTGTCATTTTTTTTTCCTCATAGTGGTTTTTATGGAGTTTTACCCTGTTTTTAGCAATATCCAGAATGCTTGACTGGAGCTAGGTGGAGGAGTCAGGGCAAGTTTAGACACAAGGAGCAACATTTTTCAAAAGAGGTTACTGAACTTGGGGTGCTTTGATTTATTGATTTTTTCTTTTCTTTTTAGGGGTGGAGCCCAACTTGAGATCCCACCCCAAAAGGGACTACACTTTCTCAGAAAGCGCTGAGCACTCCTGGCTTCAGATGAGGCCGTGGGAAAGGTGCACAGCACCTCTCACAAAGCAGGATCAAGGAGGCTCAAGTTGGGCACCTAAAAATTGTGGCATCAAAAACATTAAATAAACAGTGGCTACTTTGGAACATTTTGCCAAAATGCATTTATGCGATGAAATTCCCAGGGTGTTGGCTTTCAAAATGCAATATTGTAAGGGGTGGGTGGTGTCCGTGTGTTCTGGGGATAGGGTGGGGAAGGGGGAATGTTTTATCTCAGTTCCTGTGCAGAACTGGGCTAAGTTTCAAGGCTTTTGAGTTGGCTTCAGGGCTCCTGTATAAATACAGCGCAGTCTTGAAGAGACCCTGTCAACAACTTACCTGGCAGACCAGACAGAGTTTTGGAATTGCCTTAGCTCACTTATGTTTCCTTTTTCTCCAGCCTTTTTCCATCAGATGTAGCCAAGGGGATATCATATGTTAAGGTCATTTGTGTTGTAGCAGCGTTTGCAGATAATTATGGAGAGATTCAGTCTGGCTCAAGGGCTGCTAGACTGCGGCCAGAGGCAAATAACGGTGCAGTAAATTTTAGGTCACCTAGCAAGGAAATGAAAGGAAGATCCTGCCTCTGGCTCTGTGTGGTTGTGTTTATCACTGTCTACCTGCATGTTTGTCTCTCTCTCTGGCTGTGTGTGTGGTGCTTGTTTGTGGATAAATGTGTGAAGCATGTGTGTGTGTGTGTGTGTGCGCTTGTCACTTTGTTTTGTCATATATCCATTTGTGTACATATGCGTGTGTGATGTGTACCTTTTTTTGTGGTTTATTTGAATTACTTTGTCTCAGTTTCATGATGGGTCTGTGGATATATGTGTTGGTCTGTGTACTCAGTGTCTCTGGGGTGTCTGCGGGTGGAGGTATCTCTGCTGCTCTTGTCAACATGACTGTATGAAGTGCGCCATGTGTCTGTCTGTGTGTGATTGTGCAAGGTGTGGTGTCTGTGGTTTTGCTCCTCCCAGGAGTGGCTTGGTCTAGAGCTGCAGTGCAGGTGAAAACCTCATGCAGGGGACAGTGGGTTAAAGCCACAGATTTGAGGAAGCTCTGAACTCTGCAGCACAGCAGAACAAGTCCCTCCGAGTCTGTCACTTTTCTTCCTTCCCTTTTCTTTTTAGTTTTATTCCTTTTTATTTCCTTAATCTTGGGTCTGTTTTCCCTCTGCATTGACCTGTGAGCTTCTTCACTTCCACTCCACCCTTCACCTTCCCACCACTTCCCAGAGCTTCCTCTTCTCTTGAGCTCTTTCCTGTTTCCCCTCAGCTTTTGCCCTTGTCCTAGTCCCTCCCCTTCTGCCTCTCCTTGTCACCTGGATTCTCCCCCTCTGCCCCTGCTCTCCTACTTCCCCCGGCATTGTTTTCTGTTCTCCCTGCTCCTTTCCTGGTCTCCTGCTGCTTCCTCTGGTTTTATGTGTGAGTGTGTCGTATTCTCTTCTACTATTCTCCGTTAGTTTGTTCCCTCTCCCTTCTCTCCCACTGTGTCTGGAGTGGAGCTATTCAAAGCATGGCCACCAAGTGCTGGGTTGTGTGTCCTAAGATTTAAAACCTTCCAGACTGCAAAAATGGGTCCCATAAATTGAGAGCCATGGTTTCTTTGGGTATAGTTGAATAGAATCATAGAAACATAGGACTGGAAGGGACCTTGATAGGCTGTCTTGTCCAGTGCCCTCCACAGAGGCAGCACTAAGTATTATCTAGACCAGGGGTCGGCAATGTTCGGCACGCGGCTCGGGCCGGGCCAGGCCAGTTTTATTTACCTGCTGACGCGGCAGATTCGGCCGATAGCGGCCCCCACTGGCCGCGGTTCACCGTCCCGGGCCAATGGGGGCAGCGAGAAGCGGCGCGGGCGAGCGATGTGCTGGCCGCGGCTTCCCGCGCCCCCATTGGCCTGGGACGGCGAACCGCGGCCAGTGGGGGCCACGATCGGCCGAACCTGCCGCGTCAGCAGGTAAATAAAACTGGCCCGGCCCGCCAGGGTGCTTACCCTGGCGAGCCGCGTGCCGAACGTTGCCGACCCCTGATCTAGACCATCCCTCGCAGGTGTTTGTCTTACCTGTTCTTACAAATGTCCATGGACAGAGATTTCACAACTTCCCTAGGTAATTTGTCCCAGTACTTTAGGAAGTTTTTCCTAATGTCCAACCTTAATCTCCCTTGCTGCAATTTAAGCCCATTGCTTCTTGTTCTATCTTTAGTGGCTAAGGAGAACAATTTATCACCCTCCTTTTTATATCAGCCTTTTATGTACTTGGAGTCTGTTATCATGTCCCCCCTCAGTCTTCTCTTCTCCTGACTAAATAAAACCCATTTTTTTCATCTTTCCACATAGGTCACGTTTTCTAGACCTTTAATCATATTTGTTGCTCTCCACTGATTTTTCCCCACTCCAGTTTGTCCACATCTTTCCTGAAGTGGGATGCCCAGAACTGGACACAGTACTTCAGTTGAGACCTCCATGGTCTCCTCTGGCCAGTATAGGCCAGGCCTGGATCGCCATTCCCATCTCTCCTGCTCCATGGCTGATGCCCTTGCCCCATCCTGGTGTGCTTTCTGTCTGCTTTCTGCATGCCAACATGTCTCCAAAGTGTCTGAGCTACTAAAGCCTCAAAAGAGGGCTTTTAAGCTTTTTTGATTGGTGGGCAGTCTCCAGTAGAACAATGTGGGATCCTGTCCCCCTGCCCCATAACATTTTCTGCGGGTCATTGAACTGAGCACAGCCTGATCATGCTTTAATATCCCCCTTCCCTTGCATTTCAGAGCTAGACTTTTTTTTTTTTTTTTTTAGCAAAACTACATAGAATTAGAGACCGGGGGATAAGAGAATTCCGTGCACACTCCCACACACACCAGCGCTGCAGTGTTCCCATGGCTCAGGTCCCAGCATTTCTATGAAGTCGCTGTGAGCTAGAAGTAGCATTCTGGGTATTGACATGTAAATGAGCACAGTAGGCCTT